GGCTGGAAGATTTGTGTCTCTGGGGACATACCCTTGAAGGAGACATTGGGCCCCAGCTCCGTCTCCCCCTCCCCTCCCCCCCTCCCCCCCCCCCCTCTCTCTCTCTCTCCTCCTTCCTCCTATCTGTCTGTCTCTCAATCTCTCCCTCTCCTCCCTCACCCTGTCTCCCTCTCCCTCCTGGCCACCATGAGATGAGCTGCTTTGGTCCAGAAACAACGGAGCCCAGTGAGCCAGTGTAAATCTTTGCTCCTTCAAGTTGATCTTCTCAGTATTTTGTCAGCCATGGAAAGCTGGCTAATATACTTGACTCAGGCCTCACTTTACCCTTGAGTCTCGCTTGTAGAAAGTGACTTACACTGTGGCCTGACCTCCTTTTAGCACTGTATGGTGACTGTCTCCTCCAGGGCGTCGATCCCATTCAGTCTTCCCCAAAGAGCCTGGCAGATCCTGGCTGTGCGCTGTGGGTCTGTGTGTCCCTGGCTGCCAAGGGCCCACTGTCATCACTGTGATGAATTCCACCCACTTCTCCAGAGGCTCCAACAGCCTCTCAATACACTGACTGGTCAGTAACAACAGCAAGTAGTGCAGCTTAAGTACCTACCATTCATGTGCTGGGCACCACAAACACTTACACAACTTCCTGCTGCAGCCTACTATTACCTTCACACCTAGACACAGATACCCATCTCACACCTAGACACTGAGACTCCTTAAGCACAAGGGAACTGTCCATACCTCCCACCCCAGCTCTGCCCTGCTAATTCTGCAGCTAACAGCTGCCCTGTCCACTGCACATGCACATGTTCTCAGAGACCTCTGAGCCGCCCCATCTGCAGGGCTGACACATATGCATCTCCCAGGCCAAATCCTATTGGTTTCTCCTCTTCTACTACATGACTCCAGCAGCTGTGTCATGAGCACAGAAAGTCTAACTAAGTAAATGCCCACTGAGCCTGCTGGGTCCCAGGTGTGGAGCTAGGGCCTAGTGATGGCCCAGCATGTGGTTGGCCCATGGTCACCACAGTGACAGTAGGAGGTGACACTGTGCCTGAGTTGACGCACCAGGCCTATGACACTCTTCTGGTACTCTACCTTCCCCACACCCTGCTCCTGTGAGCACAGGAAAGAGACCCTTGCACCAGGGAGCTACGGGCTTGTATGAAGACAAATGTGGAACAAGAGTGGCCCTGACAAAGCAAGGCCTTGGTCTTTCAGAGCTCTCAAGCCACAGCAGTGCAGACCTGGTGTGATCCAAGAGGTCCTGGGCCCAGGGTGAGAAAGGAAAGCACATTTTATGAACCTGGGGCCTTTATTAACCCAAAACAAATACAAGCAACAAGTACATGAGTTTTCAGGCATGGGCTGAGGATGGCTTTGACCCAGGGAAGGGGAAGCACACCTGCTGCTGCTGTGCTAGAGGCTTCTGTCTGGAGCAGCTGATAGGACCTTTTCATTACTCAGGATAAAGTTTGCTTCCTGGGGCTCCAGAGAAAGAAGTGAAAGGCAGCTCTTCCTGCCACGTTTGGAAGCCAAACTTCTTCCTGCCACCGAGAGAAGCCAAGAGGAAGAAAGTGTCACAGTGGCACTGCAAGGCTGACTGGCCTCCCCACTCTGCTGCTCTGAGGTGAGGTTACCAGTGACAGGCTGGGTCCTTGGTATGGCTGTGAGCCCTGACTCTGCAACTCCATTACCCTGAAGAAATGGCTCCAAACTCTGGACATGCGAACAAGTAAACATGGTAGGGAACAGTACCAGCAGCCGGAGAGTAAGCACGTCTAAGCACTAATAGCATCGAGGTCCTGGGGAAATTCACACGGAAATCCTGACACCCTACTTCTCTTGCAATATCAGGTGCTCAGGCAACAGCGCGTCTGCAGCCCCAGGCAGACCCTGAGAGGTACTACCTCACTCAGGGCAGGCACCTTGGCTCCTGCCCTCCACAGAGAAGCTCATACTGCCACCGGCCACTGCAGGGCTCAAATCTCAGAGCCCTGAGACTTCACACTACAATGAATGGAAAATCAAGAAACGTGGGATGAGAGTAAGTGAACTTCAAAGCTTTCATCTTCTTCACTACAGCAGCCAAGCCCTGACAGAAGCCCTGGCAGAGAACATGGTGGTGGGGGAGGGGAGGAGAAGAGAGGAGGGAATGAGGGGAAGAAGGCTGGGTCAGTGCAGTCAGGCAGGACCCAGGGCCCACGTCTTTACCTACACTTCACAGTTCCCAAAGGGCTTGCATCAAGTACTGAAAGTGATTACACACATGATTCTGAACCTCAAACTCAGCTTCTCCCTTTAGGACTGATGATCCACCTACAAGGAATAGTGAGGACCAAATTTCCCCTGCACAGTTCCAAAGCAAAGGGAAAGGAAGGGGAGAAGTTCCAGTTTCCCACAGATGTAGAGAAGCAGGCTGTGCAACCCTGGGCGTTAGTATACCTAGTCACAAGACCCTTTGCAACTAAAGGCTGGTAACTTTTTCTATCAATCGTGTTTTCTAAATCCTGAGGCAAATTATGAAACCCGAAAAAGGAAGTGCACTTGAAAGAAGTGAGATGGTTCCCGAGTCCTAAGCACACCACTTAATCCAAATCCTCATCAGCGATGACTCTTCTGACACTATGCTACTTGCCATGGCCATGTTATTGTTGCTAACAACACAGTTCTGAACTATACGTGCACAGCACTGCATCATTCTCAAAGTGCTCATGTTTCCTTAGAGACGAACAGGGCAAGTCCTCTGTGCCATGGACAAGTAAGGACATCAGACAAACAGTCTTGAGTAATTTGCTCAAGGTCACACAGGTGATCAGTCACACTTTGCTATGGCTCACCCAAGTTCAGAAAGATATGAAATGATTCAGGAATCAAGAAAACAGTAACCTGGTAAAAAGTAAACAGAGATAAAACTGCCATCTGCAAGCTTATAAGCACACAACTTGATGCCCACAAAGTGACATTTTAAAAACTAATTTAATGTAAATATTACAGAAGATCTGGACATTAGATATCTTCTGCGCCAAATTAAGAGCAGGTGACCAGTCTGAGTTACAGGTTAAAAATGCAGTGTGTGCCTTGCTCATAAAGCAGCCCATTAACCACACCACACATAGTCATTCACATCCTAGCCTTCCAAAGCCGAGTCAGCACTGGGTGTAACTGCAGGGTCCCTATGATGAGCATCAGCAGAGCGCTGGGAGGCAGCCTGAGCTCACACATCCTCTAGTGGCCCTCTAGAGAAGGCCCTCATGCAGAGGAAACTTTACTTATGAATTATGATTGTGTCTATTATAAAACTTAGAACAGCTTTTAGAAATGTAATCTGAACAGAAGTTCTACTTTCTTCTTGCACACAATGGCCCATGACAGGCCCCCACTCTGGAGGTTAACTGGGCTTCAGAGAACCCTGAACAATGTCATCTATTCAGAAATATCACAGCAGAATTTCTGCCCTTGATAATCATTTTCTCCTTATCATTTTTCCTGAGAGTGGATGAGGAAGCTGGCCAGTTCACTCACTTCAAACTTACAGTCAAGCTAATGACAGGCTCAAGTGCTTTCAATGGACCTGGCAGACCCTTACCAGGAAACAACCCTCAGGATGTGAAGCTGAGCAACCGGAGAGGAGCCGTTGACCTATGAGATTCCCCTTCTCTCCCCACCCCCCAGGTAACTCTATGTATGAAAAACTTCGGTACTCCTGAAGCTGGCTGTCTAAGGTGGTCTTTATCACAGACACAGTGACAGTAATGTGCATCAGTGAGCAGAGAACCTGCAGACTCTCCCTAGTTCACAAGCATTTCTGTGCAGAAATCAGCCCCACTCTCAACATGCTATCCCACGAGACACCTGTCTTAGAAGCAGGGCGAGTACTTGAAAATTATTCCAGAAAGAGGAATGATGCAGACTATGTACCAGGCTCACATAAAGGCAGGATGAAAAGAGTTTAGGTTTTGTTGTTTCATCCCTTCCTTCCACATATGGATTCCCAAGGGCCAGCCTAAAACTCAAAAATACTTATAACCAACCAGCTGAGGTGTTCTTTCATGGTGTCTTCACCTTTGCATTCCTGGCACGTGGCAGAAGATTGATCCAAATGCAAAATGGCATTTTTCATTGTGGAAAAGATCTTTTTATTTCTCCCAACTACGTTTGAGAAAAAAGTAACTGAAAGTCCTGTTTATAGAGCAGTTCATTAATAAAACTTCTACCACTAGGAAAACATAAAAATTGCCTGATTGTTACCATTATGTGTCAACATGGCTAGTCTACGACATCCAGTTCCTTGGTCAAGCATCAGTCCAAATGTTGCTGGAGAGTCTTAGATTTAACATTTAAATCCATAGACTAAGTAGAGCATAATTTGGGTGGGCCTCATCCAATTGGGTGAAAGTGTTAAGAAAAGACAGAGCCTCCAGACTCAGGACTACAACCCTAACACTTCCCTGAGTTCCCAGCTGCCCTGTACTTTTCACATCTGTCATCTCCATACTTACAAGTTACATGCACCAATTTTGAATAAACAGCACACACTTCCCTGTCTAGTTAGGTATGTAAACACACACACACACACACACACACACACACACACTCACTCTCATACTCTTTTCTGGAGAACTCAAATACATTATCTGAACATTTTCACAGACCATGATCACAAACATTCTCTGTGTACTGTGTATTAAAATACACTCCCCCAAAGTTAGGTCAAACCATTGCAGAAAGTCCCATCACTGGATAAAGGGTACTATGCTAACCCTAAAATGAAGGCTGGCTGGGAAAAGGGTCCCAGCCTTAATTAACCATTCCCATTCATGTATTAAGGAAGACCAGGCCATGGACATTGTGTTTTAACACTGGTGGAGAGAAAGGTTTCAAAATACATGCGTCTTTGTAAGACAGCACAGCTCACAGGAAAGGCCTCACCAGGCTTTACTGGATGAGAAAGATGAAGATATGCTGAAAAAATAAAAGGCAAAAAGAAAAGAAATATTAACTACCTCTTGGTTATCTTTGTTTTGGTTTGCCCAGAAAATCTTATGATAAAGTGTCTCCACTGAATTGCTGGAATCAGTTCGGTCAAAACAGTGACGATCCAGGACTTCCAAAGTGTGCAAAACCCGACTAATAGTCACTCCTAAATGTGGAGATGAAGCAGGCGGTTAGACCACATGAGGCCAGAGCAGCACAGAATAAAATCATCAATATGCGAGCAGAGGGACTTTTCTTTAAGTTACCATTCTCAGCATATAGTCTCAAATACCTGCCAACAAAACCAAACCTGGCATTCGGAGACACACCAGTATCTAAAAGGCATAACCTGGATTTTGTCTTATAAATTCACCAAAGGCTCTGGTCATAAATTATCTGCACTCGTGTGGTACGCTGTAAGACTCAGCACCCCATGGCACTCGCTCTTTTGTGGTGTTCAGTACCTGCTGTTGACTCTTGGCACTTGTCAAAAGACCACCGAACTTCCACAGCACGGCCTCTTTGCTTTATCTGCTGTTCTACCTCATAAATCCTTGCCCGAACCTGAAAGATAATCACTTCTAGTTAGCTTGTGCTTGGGGAGCTGCAGAGGCTGTCCACATCATGTCAAAGCTTCTGCATGAGCAAAGGAGCCTATGGTGGGACCAAGATCCTGACAGCATTGCAGTGAGTTTCTTAAATTTACATGGGGCCACTCAAGGCTGGTCTTTGAGAATAAGTGCTTGTAAAAATAAATGCCTGCAAAAAATTTTAACAAGTGAAATATCTTCAGGACACCATATAAAAAAAAAAGGTAGAAATTTTAAACTATCCTCTCTATGTCTATGTAAGAAAGCAACTAGCAATGTTTTAGTAATTTACAAAACTGTTTCATAAGGATCTTATTCTGAATGTTAGTCACAACCCTACGGTTCCAGTTGCACAAATCCTTGCAACAAATCATGCAGCTCTAAAAACATAACTAGCACTAAATATCATAACTGCTACATGGCAGTCACGGTCATGTATAAAAAACCACCAAAATTATTGCCCGAGTAGAGAAAACTCAGCAAGAACCACCATGCAAGAGCTGAGATGCAAGGAGCAACTTCACCACCCCCTGCAGTTCAAGTGAGGCAGAAGAAACCTGAAGGTCACCCAGAGAGTTAGGGGCAGAGCTAGGGCTGACACTCAAGTGTCTCAGATGCCAGGCCCAATGTGGCTGGTTGTGCCATGGTGCCTCTGGGAATGAAAACATCCATCAAACCACTGAAACAGAAGTGTACCTGCTGGTTGAATGCCGTGTTCCCACCCGGCATGGGGAGGCTGGACGGGGCCACCTGCAGCAGGTCCAGGGGTGAGCCTGGGTTGGTGTTCTTACTTTCATTTGTGGAGTAATTCCACACCAAGGCACTTGGGCAACAGAGAGTGACAGTCTAGAAATGAAGCAGGGAAAATCCAGAGGTTTAGAGGAAAAAGCAAAAATCCCTTCATAGAAATAATGACACTCAGCACAGTTATATTCTACCATGCCTACTGATGAATTTAAAATGCAAATGTCTTCTCCCACCCTTTAAGTCATAAGACAAAACTAAAATATTCACTTGTGAGGGAAATACAGCTATTGAGAAATTAAGGAACATTAGCCCTTATTAGCTAACAGTCCCACCATCAAAAACCTGGGAAACTTAAAAAACCATCACTACAAATGATTTTTTTCATGCAATTAAGTAAAAAAACATAGCAATCAGAAAATGTTAAGTTCTAAATTATAAAATCTGAAATAAATCTTTTTTAAATCTGTCAAAAAGCTTCATAAATGTTAGGCAGGCAACAGCTCTGCAGCAGAGACTAGCAAACATTTCCTAGGAGAATCCAGGAGTAAATGTTTGACAACTCCTGTGCCAGACTCTCTTTTTCAGTTGCTGTGTTAATCCATTATCAAGGTGGAGCCACTGGGAGCAGTGGCTGGTCTTGGCCTGCAGATTGCAGTTTGCCTATACCTGCCCTAGCGTCTGACAGACATTTTTCACCTAACCAACTACAGGAAGCACTTCACATGGTCACCCTGCTCATGTGTCACAGTCATGCTGTGAGCTAGAACACAGGCAGAAATATGAGCCATGGAGGAGGCTGGCTCCAGCACACATGCTCTGAACCACTGTGCAACCTGCCACCTTCCCAGTGCTGGAGTGCACATGTGACGTAACTCGTACTCTGCCTGAACACTGCTCTGAGGCTGTTAATCAAACAGCCTATCCTATGAGGTAACCAGGTAAAAGTGCTTATCGTTGCCCACTCACACACGGGGACATGTGAGCTTGAGGTTATAGAAACCAAGAGGCAAGCAAGGCTTAGGATCAAGTCTACAATGATTCTTGGCTAATTCCTTAACCATTTTGCTACCATATCATTTAGCAGCATCCTACATGAGCTTAGAACAAAGACAATATTGTCTTCTTTTCAAACATATGAAATTAATTATAAAAAATAAATTCTGAGACCCAAGAGACATCCTTGTGTAGAGCAGATGGCAGACACAAAGAATGTCAAATCCCTGAACCAGCAATACATCTGTCTCCACTAGCCCACATCCCTCCCATCTCCCTCCTGCCTTGCCTGGGTATAGACTCTTGGCTCAGGTCCACCATGGAGCCTCCCATGTGTTCCTGAGTCCAAAGCCTCCCACACCCAGGATACTTAATGATCAAACAACCCTCCCTCTCCTATTTCCCACACTCTCCCTCTACTGGTTTACCCTTAACTTAAAAATGTGTTCAAATCTGCCCATCACAAAGCATTTTCTTGTATTTCCACTAAATGCAGCTCAGAGGCAGAGTTACCTGCCTAGCATGCGTAGGCCCTAGATTCAATCCCCAGCATTGAAACACACATGCACATGTCCACTCACCCAGAAGCCACTGACTGCAACCCACTGTCCATTCTCTCCTCTTCAACCATGGTTCTCAAAAACCACTTAGTGCTCTTTCTCCTCGCTCTCCATCCCTCCTTAATCCCCCCTTCTAGCTTCTTACCCAACATCCAGTTGAAATAGTTCTTAAAAATAAGACCAATGACCACCATATCGTCAAAGGCAACTTCAGCCACCTTCTCACCAGACTTCCCAATACAATGAGCACTGCCCACTACTAATTCCTGCATCCCTACATATCTAGGAGGTACTGGTCCCAGGACCCATGAGGACAGGTAAAATCTGAGGATGCTCAAGTCCCTCTTATGAAGTGCTACGCTAGAACCTCACAAAATCATCTCCATATTACTTGTGACACCTAATCCAACATAAACACCATGTGAAGAGCGGTCATCCTACGCTCTTCAGGGATTGACGACAAGGAAAAGTCTCAACATATTCAGTATAAATGGAATTTTTTTCTGAGTAGTTTCAATCCATGGTTGGTTGACTCCTTGGATACAGAGGGCCACTACTCTCTAAAACAGCCCAAACTGACCTTAGCTAGGTGCTCCAAACCCTTTCCTTTGCCTGTCTCTCTCTTTCTTACCTCCCCACCCCCACAAATCTTTTCTCTGCCTTGGACAAAACAATCTAATGAAGTACAACTTACAGTGTTGCTTCCCCATACAAAACCCTCTGATGATCCCCAACATAAAGCCCACTGGGGGTCTTCTACTCTCTAACTCCCAACAACCTGTATCCATAATGGCCAATGAGCCCTCTGGGCTTTTCCTATGCTGTTCCTCTTGACACAAACATCCTTCCCATGCCTTTTGTTTATTCATTTGAACTCATAAAACACTTTCCTCAGGAAGCTTCCCTGAGTTTCAAGCTGGGCTGGAAGTCCTACTTTTCAAATGCCTTGGACCTCTGTGTATATCTCCACCAACCCTTGTCATATTATATGGAAACTGAACATTTGTGACTGTGTCTTCCCAACCCACCAGTTACCTCCACCAGAGTGGAGACATGCCCCAAAGCCCCTTAGTAAAGAAGTCACAGTAAGAGCTCAAGAAATGGGAATTGAGCTTCTCCAGGCACGGCTGTCTTGTTGATCATGTGGCCCAGAGCCAACATGTGGCTGGATGTTCAAGGACTACACAAGCAACAATGCCTGGCAGAGGACCACAACCTGGCAAAAGGGGCAGCAACAATGCCTGGCAAAAGATGCAGACTAAGGAAACACAGAGAGTGGCAACCAGCTCAAGACATGAACAAAGAAGCTAACAGTGCTTCCCAAAGAAGCTGTCTGGCCAGAAGAGCAGCACATAGCTCATCTGCTCTGAGGGTTCCCTGAAGGGTTTAAAACTGAACTCCTTGATGGCCCTAATAAAAGCACACCACAACAGTCTCCTTCTAGACAGATGTAGCAAACATCTCAGCTAGATACAACACCACAGTAATAGAAAGAGCTCCATGTAAGTCACTGGGCTGAAGAAAACACCACATTTGTCACCTGGAAGTTCAAAGTTCTATTCCCAACCCAATTGTTGCAAACTCACACTGAATTTTGGCATAGAGAAACGCAGCTGTGTACTTACCTGCAGCATGCAGCTAAGTCCATAAACCAGGGGACCATGCTGTGCACAGGAAAGGAAGTCTGAGAAGGCCAGCTGCACAGGACTCATACCAGGCCCTGGGGGGCCAGGACTGGGGGCGCCAATGCTCGCGTTGTTTGGTCCTATCATCATGTGGGGTGAGTGGGCAGCAAGGAGGCCAGGGCTGTCGCTCAGTAGCAAGGAAAGACGGCGGGCACAAAAGTAGGCAAGACGTCGAGACAGGTAGGCTGACTGGACAAACTCATCTGAATACTGGGAAGAGGGAGGGCACCAGCCTTTGTCACATACTGCGTTTCTCAACTACTTTAATACAGACTTCTCTTCATTAAAAACAAACAACAAAATTTAAAAACACCTTCAAAAGTACTATACAGACCAATACTGTCCAGTAGAAAAACAATGGGAACCATGTATGTAATTTTTAAATTTCCAATAACCGTTAAATAAGAAGCAGGCAAAATTACAAGAACAACGTGTTGTACTTAGCCCAATATACCCCAAATGCTTTCATCTCAACACATAATCAACATGAAAAAGTATTTCTTCAGACTAAGTCTGAAATCTGGATGCACACTCAGAGCACATCTCAGTTTGCACTGGTCACATTTCAAGTTCAAGAGCCCAGCAGCTGGTGTGGCTGATGGCTACTCTCACAGGCAGAGCAGGCATGGACTCTTGGGGGATGCAGAAGACCCCAGGCAACAGGCTACACTGTCACAGTGCTTGAATTACCAAACAGGTGTATTTCAAGAAGAAAAATTTTAATAAATTACACCCATATAATCTGAATTTTAACATTCTTAGACAAATTATTACATTCTTTAAAAGAGGTAATTTGTTTTATTTTCACCGTCATTCACGTGACCAGAAAGTGTCTAAAGCGCTGATAGCAGACATAGGAGGAAAGAACAGGGTGGGATTACATGTAGACAGAAACTATTGTGCAATTAGTACAGACAACTGCTACAACTAATCAGAAGCCTCTTGACTTCACGTGTCAGGACACTGAGGACATTTCTCATTCCACCCAGACAGGAATATCTCTGTCTCTCTTTACCCAATCATCCTTATCACCCACATCCCAGCTGTGAGCATCACCGGCTCCAGGTGACGGCTTATTTTACCTGCAGCATCAGCGGTAACAGTAGTTTAAGAAGATCATCATCCATTGGTCGGATCTTTTCTAAGACATCCAGGATCCATGTCAAATACTCATGCTTTTCTAGCATTCCTTCCTTAAGTGAACAAAGAAAATCACACCAGTAATGTGAAAGTTTTTAAAGAGGCACTGTTACTCTTATGCGTAAGCGCAATCTCATTACTGTTTTACTATTAGAGTAAACCATGGTCTCCCTGACCCCAGGCCAAGTTCTAAACAAAATGGAGTACTAGAGTTTGCTGTATATTTGGCCTGGGGTTTTGTTTGTGATATTTGGTAATCTGCTTTGCTCTACAGTGAACAGTTAATGAACAAGTAAGGAAACTGAGTAGTTCCCATGATCCCAGGCATGTCAAGCCCTGGAGAGATTCCAGAGTTTGTGAACTCTGGTGCACGCAAGGGACCTATAGTGGTGACATGTAAGGAAGAAAAGCAATGCTCAGTCAACATTGCAACAGAATGTGTGTGTCCCTTCATAGCCCTCCTCACTACTCTAAACTGACTCTAAAAATACAACCTTAAAAAACCAATGCAATGATCACTATTGTATGAAGAAATGGAAGGGATTTATGATAAAATAATGGATTAGTAGTCCAACACAACCACATAGAAAAAAATAACATGTCCACAAATTTCTAAAATGCCCCACTGGGTGGTATGCATGCTACTGAGACCACTCACTCTTTCTTGTTTTTGTGGTGGTGGGGCTCAAACTCAAGGCTACGTACATACTAGGCAAGTGCTCTGTCACTGCACTACATCCTAGCCAGACACTAATCATGAAAACTACAAGCACCCTTTGTCTAGCACCATCACACACGTAAATATACAAATATGTCCTTTCAAGACATTCTATGCATCTATATTTGATGTCACGATACTTTTGTTAGTCACAGAATGAAACGAATCTTCAAACTAGAAACAAAAGGCTATGATTTTTGGGAAAGACACTTTGATGGCCACTCTGCTAACAAACTTAGTAATTAATGTGGACTCCTACTCTGTTCCTGGTAACTTTCACCTATCACCACTGACCCTGCTAGGGTCAAGGCTTGGTGTGAAAATGTTACACTGACACCTGACAGCTGTACTGTAATACAAGCTCATTATGGTGTTGATGAGTACATACTAGTTAACTTCTAGTTTTAAGATAGCGAGTCAAAAGGGTTAAAAGGTTAGTCACAGAAAAAGTACAATTTAACATTTTAAGACCTAAAGTGAACTTTAATAAAGATGTATATACATACATAGATATATGTATTCGTCAATTTAAATACATAAACAAACACAGTTAAGCTAAATGAAGTAGAATTCTGCATTAAGGAGTAAGAGATGGTAAGCATAAGATTCAAGGAGCTTGATGGAAAGCAAAGGGTCCTCACAGATACAGCAGCCTCTTCTGCTCAGGCACCCACACCATCTCTGCACATGTGTGTCTGCATGCACGTGTTCTGTGTCCTGCCTCACATCTCACAACATGGCAAATTAAGATATAGTGGACTTGCAAATTAGACATCAGTGCTTCAATTATGTTCACACTTTAGAATCTGGGTTTTTTTCTATAGAAGGCATACTGATTTCAATGTTCTTTGTAAACTAATCTTTACAAAAATTTTAAGCATGCTAAGAGATACTCCAAGACACAGACTAAAGTCTCAGTTCAAACTTGCAGGAGTCGAGGCAGGCATGAAGTGTGGTCCCATTGTAAGTGCAACTTGGATCCGTGAGAGCTACTGTTACTGACTTACAACTAACAACGCAATACTCCTTCACAAAAGTACCACGATTTTAACTACTGTGAGCACAGAACAAGTCACTTCCCACCTGAATACTGCATTAAAGAGGACATTTAGAAACCACACCTCCCCTTCCTCTCTATCATAGCAGGAAAAGTCAGCTGGTAATGTGACTTCAGCTGAATGCACCCCTCCTTCCACCTCACCAAGAAACACCAGGAGTGCCCTCTTCTGGCCAATATGCTAGTTCAGCCTATCTAAGTGAGAGTTCGGTCAACCGCACTTGAATCCATAGCTGTATCACAGTGAAAAGGACATTCTCTGAAATACCTCAGTTCTAAAGGAGATCTGCTAGTCAGGAGGCATAAGCACAAAAATGTTTTTGAATAAATATACCCAATCTTGCAAAACGGAAGGTCTAGAAGTAATTAGTGGCACTAGAAAAGCTGTGGTCACCACAAGCTGGAGAAAAATGAGTCACCTGCTGTCACCACAGGGCAAATGTGTTACCCTGAACACAAGCAAACAGCATGAGGCTGCTTTCTAGAGACATACGGGCTCATGCAGAGATCCATTTAACCCCTGGAAACACAAGTGCAGCCATATGCCAACGAAACGTTTTAGTCACCATGGATCACAAAGCCTGAGTATGCAGTGAAGTGGACCAGCCATCTAGGTTTGTGTGTGTGTGCTCTCTGCGACACTCCTGCAATGACCACACACTGCTCAGACCGTGTCCACTGTATCTGTGGAAGCTGCTCTCTTTCTGAAGGCATGCCCCACAGCCTGCATGTCTTGGAGAGGTCACCTGGAACATGTGAAACGCCAGCTTCTCGTTGTACTCCCACTGCTGCATGGCCTGCTCCACCTCCACGGGCACGGGGCCATCGCCACCACTGGAGGCCAGGTGGTAAAAGTCAGAAATCTTGGCCAATTGCTCTCGAAGATACCTGGTAGATATTTGTGTCCACTCTACAGTTAAAAGGAAAAAATATATATTCTGAATTCTAGACACAGCAGCTTAAGAATTATACTTGATTGATTACCTTGAGGATGTACTTTAAAAATCAAATTTTTACATACAAATGTAAGTACAATTTGCATACAAATGGTTTTGTGCATGTGCAATCAGTGTCAGAAGAGCAGGCCCACCCAAAGACCTTAAGTAACGTGCTTAGTGTGAGGTCGGCTGCCCTGAGCAGCCAGCACAGACGCCATTCTCCTCCAGTGCTTGTGACACTTCCCTAAGGAGAAAAGATGTCCCCATTTGAATCTGATCCATCTGGTGACCCTCTATGTTAACCCCAGTTAGCTTGACAAAAGTACTGAAGGAGGGAAAGAGGTAGCAGGAAACAGAGCAGTGTAGGGAAGCACATAATGCAACAAAACCCCACTGTAGCTACCTCAGGGTCTGCCTCTCAGGCTCCATCTCAACTTCTCAACCAGCCTAGTTAAGAGTTGTTCTGGTACTGATCTGCAAGAGGACCAATGCTCACCATGCTGGACCACAAAACCTTCGGCTGCACAGCCTGGGATGCACCAGGAACCCAGCCTCTGCACCTTTAATCATTCTCAGCCCTGACACCTGAGAGCCCAACAAGAGTGAGATCAGACAGTAAGGAACAGTGAAGGGTAAAAGATGGCAGAGGAAGTGGGAAAGGTAGCATAATTTTGAGATTATTCAAAAATCTCTCCCGGGGCACAAATTAAATCAGTATGTTGCCTCTGGCAACCATGAAAGATGGTTTAGCCCATTCTGTGGTTAAAAATTAATACCTGCTCACAGACAAACTTCCCCGCTGATGACACCTTTCCCGAGAAACCACCTTATGGAAGCACCACACAGTGCTGTTCTCCCAGCTACGAGTAGAACTACACATCTGTTAGTGACCTGCTGTTTTCTTTTCATTTGTTCACTCTGTTGAAATCACCTGACAACAGTGCCCAGAGACAACTGCTATTACATTCTGGTCTAAATCACTTGCCCTAACAGTATCTTATTTAAAAACTGAAATGCATACCCAAGCTGAAGTCCAGTGACAAACCAACGCAAAACCACGTTCAGACATGAGGCTGACTCTGTTCCAAGTTTAACAGTTTTTCAGAAAGCAGCACTGAGGAGAGGCATTATCACTGAAATTGATCCACCGGCACCAAAAATAAAACACTAAACTATCAATGTCACAGTCTTTCAGTACCCGTTATGGACTAACAATCTCATGTCGCTTATTTAACACAACAAAATGCCAACCACCAGATGAGACAGGTTTGGCTTAGCTATAATAAGCAAAAGCAAAAATAGCAGATACGAATCTTAGCTTTTTTTGTATGCCAGGCCTCACTATTAACATGCTCCCATTATGGCACTATTCTCAATATCCCCACGGAGTATTTTAACCAAAATCTAAAAATAACACACACATTTGCACATTCCCTCTTGTTCTTCTTTTCCAGAGAGTTAAAATACAGGAAAAATATATGTTTATTGTAGAAAGCTTCTAACATCAATAGGAAAATGTCTGTCATCCCATCACTTAGTCATCAACTGTGTGGACAGAGGGCTGCCCCTCTAGCACCCATGAGGGTTTGCCCTAGGACCCTCCCCCACCAACTCTGACCCCCCACCCCAGATACCAAAATCCATAATGTCAAGTTGCTCTGTAAAACTTCAGGCATTTGCATAAAACCCACACACATTCTCCATATTTGTAATCATCTCTGGATTACTTACAATACCAAATACAATGTAAATGGTATGTGAAAAGTTACTGTGCTGTATTGTTTGGGAAACAATAACAAGGTAAAACTCTGTATGTACTTAGGACATATCTCATTTTTTCCTTAATTTTTTCCATCCACAATTGGTTTAATCTGTGGACTTAAAACCCATGGCTATAGAAGGCTAACTATATCTTTCTATCTTTTTCCTTTGTGTGCCTGAATGTTTTTGTAAATACACGCGTATCTGTTTTTCTAACTGCCAATATTCCACAATCTGAACTCCTCCTGGAAATCATAAATGTAGGTCTCTCACACTGCACTTTAACTACAATTATCTGGCATTAAATGATTGTATCAAGCCAATCGATTTATCTGGAACAAAAGAGAGGGTGGAGGAAGGGAGACAGAACATCAGGATGCACTGGACTGAAGACAGGACGGCAAGGCCAGCAGTGCTCTTCTGCCTACACTGGTCTCATTAAGGAGAACAACCTAGTCCTGCCCTGTGGGGGGCAGCAGTAGGGGGTGGGGGAACAGTGCCAGGGGTTCTTGGCCCCTAGCATCTGACACAACCAGGGCCAGTGCCCGGCCCTACCCTGTCCACTTTTACTGTAGCATTTAGTGGCACCATAAGAATGGGCTTTAAATAGGATAGCCCTGAAGGCCAAATCCCAGCTCTGCTATTCACCAGTTATACAGCCTGGAGCAAAGGGTTCAACCACTTCCTCTTTAACAAAGTAGGGATTAGCAATGCATACGCCTCAGAGTTACTGTAAGGACGGGTCGCTAACAGGGTGCACACAAAGCAGAAACTGATCAGTGAGTGGGAGCTGCCATCACCATCACCATGACCCAGGTAAAATGCTCTGAGAAAGGAAACAAGTTACACCTTGGACACTAAAGGACAGTGCCGGCTGTCAATATGTCAGACCCTGCCAGTACCTTCCTCTGTTGAGTCAACACTCAATTGTCACTATCAAGTCTGGAAATGCTCTGGGTAAGTACAGAATCAATGTTGGCTTCTGGGCTCAAAAACCCTCAATGAACTCAGAATCCTTAATGAATGAAGACCAAACGCCTCAGCTAGGAATAAAAACTGCCTGGAACACAATCTACCATTACTCATGATGCCACCATCTCTGGCTGCTCTGGGCTTACAGTGCTGTCTCTGTCCAGAATGCCTGTTTTACTCTCGTGTGTTCACTGCACAAGTTTTCCTGGGCCCAATTCAAATCCCACATGTAATGTGTGCTCTATGGGTCTCCCTTCTATAAAGGGTATTAGAAGTTCCTCCATCTTTTTCATCCTCATAAAACCATGCCTTCCATATACAGTCAACACCAAAGTGTTGGCATGAGTCAAGTATACCACAGATCCTCCCAAAATAAACTACACATCACACTCTTCACCACTGATTCTGCTTTTGGCTCTTCTTCCTAGTTTAAGCTCATCACTGCAGCCCTTCAAGGTTTCACAGGCCACTGCAGAGACGTGCAAAATGCCCTAACGCTGTTGCTCTCACTACCTAGCAGTGCCTGCAGTCCACGGGCTGTGAACGCACCATGCAAACACTGAACTTCCCGTTCCCTTTCAATAAACTTCCTCGTGAGTGACTGTGTACCCTTTAACTCTGCAATGGCTCATTTTCCTGGTTTTTATCAAATTCAGTGGGACTCTCTCAACGTGAAATCAATGCAACAGAGAAATTTTTTTTAAACCTGATTGTGTCAAGGACTAAGGAACATGGGTTTAAGGTGATCCACTTATACAGCCCTTTACACCATGGATAAGGGTCACCAAACTCGTCCATGACAAAGGCTTAAAGACTAAGCAGTTGTGTCCTGGTTTTGAGTCACAAAACGGGAAATCCCTTGTTTAGCAGCTTGGAGAACTTGCAGGGGAGGGGGGAGTCAGTGTGCTGACTGGCTGCCCAGGGAGCACAGAAAAGCCTGGTCCTCCACTGGACAGAGGCAGGGAGTGTGGGTGGTGGGCTGCAGGCACACAGCAGAAATGCTTTTAAAAAGTATTTCTCCAAAATACAATTGCTAACATGGGTGTTTAGTAGCAAACACTGATTATCTGGGTTTTTTTCCTGGATGGGAAAATTTACTGTGATCTTTAAGTGGTTTTATTCATTGTCCAATGACACTGTGCTGTATAACACTATTCAGAATCAGGACAACAGATCAAGACAAAATAAGCAGCAGGTAAGCACCATCAGTGTTCGGCAGCAGACCTTAAATGACTAGTGTGGGCCAGAAGGTCTGTGGAGCTACACAGGGCACTAAGAAAGCAACCCCACCTGAGCCAGTTCACCCTCGAGCTCAGGAGATCCACAGAGGCAGACCAGGATGGCCAGTGACAGATGTTACTGGCCATCGTGGGCCTCAGGAGAGGAATCAAGAAGGTACAAAGCGGTCACACAGAACAAAAACAATAATGTGTGACCCAGGCAACCCAGAGGTCCTCACAAGCGAGTGCATCCAATGACCACCAGAGGGAGCAGGTGAAGCATCCAGATTTTAGCTCCAGCTCCAGAAATCTGTGGTCACAACCAGTAGTCCAGTCAGCCGACCCAGTTGGGGCACACTACAAACTGGTCTTTTACTACAAATGATTAACAGAATAACAAAACCACACACATAAATTATGACCATCTCTCAGGAAATTGTAGAAACACTGCAACAGGAGGCTGTCATGACCACTGGGGAGGGGACAGTGGGAGGGGAAAAGAGGAGGCAGGTGTGGCACCCTAGTGAGGGAGAAGTGTGACCACCCTGGTGGTGTAGATGAAGCAAAGAGAGGCCAGAGCAGCTTCCAGACCATACCGAGGTGGCTGAGCAGACAGCAGAGCCACCCCAAGACCGGACAGCAGAGCATCTGGGGAGGGCAGCACAGGGGCTGGGCTTTGTTTCCTTAACTTCTTGTTTTAATGAAGCTGTTTGATATCGTCACAAGCACATGTGCATGCACATGCAGTCGCCAGAAACAGAGATCCATGACCCCCTTACCTAGTTTTCCTAAAAGGCAACTTCTTCCAAAACCATAGCACAATTATCACCACCAGGATACTGAAGCTGACACAACCCACCAGGGTTCTCAGGTTCCCCAGCTGTGAACATGGGGCATTTTAATTGCTGGAACATTCACGGGGAAATGTGTTAAGGGGCAGGAAGTACGCAGGTCTGGTAAGGGTAAAGATACAAAGGTGGCTACCCTTACCATTTGTGAGATACAATGGCTCCAAAAAT